TCAGTGTTTCTGGCTCTGGGCTCAGACGGAGGATGCAGTTGCCATGGTGACGCTGTGTGTGTGTGCGTCCTGGGCTGTGATTGGCTGTGGGGGCTGAGTGTGGGCGGGTCCAGCGTCTGTCAGCGTCACAGAGCCTCAGTGATCCTCAGATCGCTCAGAGAGACGGAGACTCTTCGTCGCTGCTCCTCCATCCTCCTCTTCCTCCGCTCCGACCGACAGCCTTCATCGCCTCCGCCATCGTCATCCTCAGCAGCCCTGACCCTCGCCCGCCGGGTCGCCATGGCAACGGTCATCTGCACTCGATTCACCGAAGAGTATCAGCTGTACGAGGAGCTGGGCAAGTGAGTGTCATCTTCATCATCCTCCTCATCAGCGTCCAGCTCCTGCTGTGTTCCAACTCATTCACATCGTTCAGGTTCTGGTTCTGGTTCCGGTTCCGTCAGTACTCAGAAATAAAAAGTAAACATCGACGAATTATGTGAAGAAATGACTGAAGTGTTTTCCTTCATCATTTCTCCATCGTCTGTGTATCAGAGTGTGTTTTACCTCCAGGTTGCTGAAGCTCTGAGCAGCTGCTCCTCATCCTGTCTGAATCCGTCTGGATTCAGAAAGTCTGTTACGATGAGTTAGTCTGAGGTTATCATCCATCAGTGTTTGGTTTATATGCAGGTTTTTATACATGTTCTGCTCATTTCATGAAACACTCCATACATGATGGTGATGACATCATAACAACTTGTTCTTACTGTGTGAACATACGGGCTGTCATAGTGAATGGATCGCTGTTCTGATGGTTCTGATGGTTCTGATGGTGCTGATGAGGCTCATTCTGGGTGATTTTATATTAATGGTCACATTGACTAGTTCAGCAGCAGTGAACTACGTCTCTACGTCCATCCCTGTGACTGAGTGGATGTTTTATGCTCATATGTTCAGTGTTCACTGATAACGATTATTAATCAATAATGACTGATAACAAACGTCAGCTTCATCATTTATAAAGATTATTGATTGTGTCGCTGATCAGGAGGGACGACTGATAAACGCATCGATGGAGGACGATGAGACACCTTCCTGACCTCGGCCCACTCACTGCCCACACACACAACAACACACACACACACACACTAATACACACTCTAATACACACACTGTAGCACACAGTAACACACACACACACACACACACACACACACACACACAGTAACACACACACACACTGCCGTGCGCGCTGCCAGCTCCGTTACATAACGCGCTGGTGGGTGGCAGAATGCAGCTTTCATAAGAAACACTGACAGTGTTCTGTAGAAACTCCAGGTCCACTTCCAGCCATGGAACCGACCGGCACCATCAGAGCCCTTCACCAGCAGCTCCTCCTGTATTGATCGTCCTGCTGATTGGTGATTGGCTGTCTCAGAGGTGGACTTTGCAGAAAGTCAGATGGAACTCTGGTTCGGGTTCTCTGGGCCGTGCACTCGGGCCTGGACACTTTGGACCAGACTTTGTGTTCAGGGTCCTGGACTGTAAACCGGAGGTCCAGGCTTTAGGCTCTCGGCACTCTGGTCTGAGAATCCTATTGATCGTCTCATTGATTATCAGGAGAAGCTGATCGGGTCTGAGCAGCAGGGTTCCGCACTCTTAGTCCTAAAACTACATTTCCCAGAATGCACCTGGTCAGTTCTTAAACTCCAGCCTCATGACATCACTGTGACATCATCACACCC